TCAGCCTTAAATGATTTATTAAAATTGTGCGCAAAATTGTCTAAACATGTTAAGCTACCCATGCGGGTCGGTTGTTTTAATGCCAGTTTCAAGTTATATCTAATTAATAAACATTCAAATGCATTTGTTTAAGAATTTTTTTAAGCAATTTTCTTTAAGAACATCTATATTAAAGTCTCCACCAACAACAATGTTTTTATATCGTGAATGCGATATTCCTTGCAGAAGAGTTTCTAGTTTATCCAGACAGTAGTTAAGATTGTTCACATTTGGTACTCTATATATACACACGACAATTATCTTATAATCGGTAAGCTCAATAGCACAACATTCAAATATGCCTGGAGATGATAAACACGATATTTTAGGTAGATCCTTAAATTGAAGACCGTTTATCACAAGAATGCATGCACCACCCCTCCCTTGCGCCTTTCTACAGTAATAAGTAGCCAGACAATAATTCGGTACAAAAAGTTGTTTCTGATCCTCCTTATCCATCCCTCCTTAATAAAATTTTCCGTAATGCACAGTACATCTACCAATATTTTTTTTCACATAGGTCATCTAAGCACACAGTAAGTGCGTTAGATTTTTTTTAGACCTGCCATTTTTCGGTGTAAAATTTTCATATATTTATTACAGAAAAAAGGATTCATTTGCGGAATCTTTAGTGCTAGAAAGTGAAAGAGGGGATGACTCATACTTCTGTTTCGTGTCACGGAAGTGGTTTATATTACCTTAGTAACTTAAATCCACAAATTCATTTATCATTAGCCTTAGATTAATGAATATATTGGCCATACCGTGATTATTGACACATCCATTTTTCTTCAAAAACATTTTATAATCGTATGACAGATACAAGTTAGATATTCTTTCGTTATATATCTCTTCCGTTAAATATTGCGGAATAATCGTTGAGTTTAAATGTAGGCGCGCATATTATGACATTTGTGTGTTGTATTTTTAAAAGCGTTTCCCGTATGGTAATTGTTAGATTAACATAGTTTGTAGTACGCCGAAAGTCCTCTTCACCAACGAAAATCACGCAATAGTCGTTCATTGTATAGTTTTTTAATTTTAGGTCAATGTTATCAATAAGCTTCTTCATCCCACAATTCGGTGTCAAATAATGGCAAATTTGATAATTTGGAAACGTATCGTCTGCGATCGTTAGTATCTTGTTATTGTTATTACTACTTATGATACATAGGTTGTGTTTTTTAGTGTAGTTTCTTTGTATACTTGTATGACAACAGAATTCCTTGTTATTCGTGCGAATATTCTTATTACTCTTAAATGTTTCTACACATTAAAGACTGGTTTGTTTTTTGGTTCAACTTCCGTAATGTTACAAGCGGCGCCATCTGTTATAGATGGATTAGAATCTTTGCACTTTTTATTAACGTCATAGTTAGACAACTGAGTACGATAATTGAAAATTTTCTTTTTAGTTTGGTTTGTTTTGTGTGGTGTATTTTTTAACAACGCCTCTTCCTGATCGGTATTCTCATGTGTTACGGGATCGTTAGTTAATGAGTTTTGATGTGGGTTATTTTGGAAGCAATAAGTTAAGCGACGCTTTGGTATCTTTACGATTTATACATGTTTTTTTCCTTGTTGAGGATATAGGACTTTTACATATCTGCTTGAGAACTTCTATTTCTTGTCTAAGTTGAGACACTTGTTTCTTTAGTTGAATATTTTACAAGATAATATTATCGAGCTCATGTTGTGTACTATCTAAATTAGATTTAAGGTCACTTATTTCTGACTTTAAGTCTTCGATCACGTTCGTTTTATTTGCAGTTAAGTTTAAACTCCTACTCAATCGGCCCTCGGAAAACGTAGAATCAAACGAATCGCCCTCATTCAAGCTTTCATATTATGATTTTCTTTTTGTTTGGCATCGACGTCTTAAAGTAACATTACTAGTACTATCCATTTTCTGACGGTAGCGAACGAGAAGCACGCAAAGCAGCTATATAATCTTCGGTATTTAATTCCTTTCTAAATTATATTTAGTAATTTAATAGGTATTTAAGTTTTATTGTCAATTAATTACAAGTAAAAATTCACAAATATCACCAAAATTCAACAACAAACGCTGGGTTTGAACTCGAGAAACTTAGAGTAACACGGCGTTGGCAGACAATTGAGCCAATTTGCCGTTATCAGGCGTGATGAAAGTAGGGTTTATAAATAATAAATTGTTCCTCAGATAAAAGATGTTCGTTACATTGTTTGAAATTTTTGCAATTTTTTCACCGTCACCGTCACTGTTTTGTTAAAACACAATTAACTTAACACTTTGTTTTGATAATAGCCTATTCTTCCACTTAGATTTGATAATATTTACAGCACTAGGTTGATTTATTTTTATTGCAAACCGAAAATTAATAGTTTTAAATGTAAACAAACTGTCTTTGCACTTTATTTTAAAATTAGTTATTTAAGCACTGCACTTGCATATAACGCTAAGATAACACTATTACTTCACTATTATGCTATTTTATGTCTACTTTGCAATGCATTTGCGGCTTAGTTTTGTCTTAGGTATTTTTAGTATTTAAAATACGCGGAGCGATAGGTTAAGCGTGCATCGATGTGTGTTTTATATATACTTCACGATATTTACTCCGAGGGTTTATTCTCTCATTACATTATTATTGATGGTCCATCTTCGATACCTTATAATGTAGTTACTGATACGGCCTTATAATTCTCTTATATAATCTCCTTTATGAATTTGAAACAAATAAATAAAAAATGAAAACAGTAGAACTCTAGATGTTGTTTTATGCAATTTATCTGACTGCTCAGTTAATATCTCTGAGAATCCACTCTTAATAGCGGTTCCACACCATCCAATGTTGGACGTTTTTATGCAGCAACTCATTCTAAGTGTATGCCCACCAACCAGAAGGCAAAACGAAACTTTTACAGACCAAACTATGACCAAATTAATTCCGCGATTTCAGAGGGTTTCTAAGCTCAGCTCTTCTTGTATAGATATTGTCTGTAGTGTATGTGCCTCCACCCTATTAGCATATGTTAATAAATGTACTTACTCTTAGGTTTAAGTGGCAGTATAATTAAAGTATTGAGTAGAGAAACACGTCTCTTTCATTGACATCCTTCCGACATTACATGGCGACCCTGCCAGTCGGTGCGCGCGCGACTCCGCTCGCCGCGTGCACCGGCTGGCCACCGATAATAAAGTTATAACAAATACATAAAAAATTGTTAAACTAAAATGTAAAAAAAAAGTAAATAGAGAACTTTCCTTTTTTTTTAAGTATCGGGGGAGGTGTAGTGTATCCGTGCCTCCACCCTATTAGCATATGTTAATAAATGTACTTACTCTTAGGTTTAAGTGGCAGTATAATTAAAGTATTGAGTAGAGAAACACGTCTCTCTTTCATTGACATCCTTCCGACATTACATGTCGTTGACATATTTTGTAAGCAAATCATGTATGTTATTGAGTCTTATGTATCACTCGTCACAATTAAAACCAATAGATCCCCTAAATGGTTCTCTAATAGCTTAACTTAATAATAATGTCCTCCAGACCGAATTTCAGTCAGGGCATCCAGTCTCTACGGAGACTAGCTATGGCGCTGGACGGGATTATAGTGCCTGAGTGTATGCGCAAGCACAGGTGCACTCTCTATTCCCCTCACTCTCATAGTCCGATGGGGACGATAATTCAACACGACCGGAGAGTGATCAGACGCAGGACCAACGGCTCTACGTACTCTCCGAGGCACGGGGGTGAGACACCGCCGAATTCACAACTCCAGGTTGAAAGGCAAAATCCAATAATTAATTTTGGCCCGACCCGGGATTAGAACCCGGGACCTCATGATCAGCAAACGCGTTTACGACCACCAGACTAACGAGGCAGTCAGGTTATTTTATAAACTTAGTTAAAAATCTCAAATGTGACCGCGATAGAAAACGTACATTAGATTATTTTGATAGAGTCCTCCCTATTAAGAAAACGTGTTAAAGGTCTCTTAAATACATAGAGAACGTTCAGTCTTAAAAAAAATACTTCTGGAAAATATATATAGATATATATATTTTTATCCTATATTTGTTTCTTTTATATAGATATAAAAGAAACAAATATGGGATATATGCAGGTAATGAAAAAAATAATCTGAAATGCTCTCACGTCATTTTAAATCCGTATTTTAACCTATGTCAGGCAGTGCGTAATATATTAGGCTGACACTCGAGAGGATATTTCACTGGAATAAACGTGGATATGTCATGTACACACGTTTCACACAATTAGAAGTTTGCACATCTGTAAAATACATATATTGATCCAGAAAAGGGCGCTGAACCTAACAAAATAAAGCCAGTGTTTTAAAACGCGCTTGTGATACAATTTGCATGCCGCTCAGAATTATTTTTAACAAATGCTTCAACATTTTTTTAACAAACAGAAAACATTTCCGACTCATTGGAAACAAGCATACATACACTTATTCACAAACCAGGTTCTAAGAACAACGTAGGAAATTACAGGAAATTATCTTCCAATATCAACTATTTCAGCCATTCCTAAAATATTTGAAAAACTTATTCACGATCATGCATATATATTCAATTTTAGCAAATACGTTATTAAAGGAACAATACGGCTTTGTTAATTGCAAGTCTATACTGACATGTCTATACTGACTTGTCTATGTTGAATAGTTGAAAATTGAATAGCGTTTAATAATTTTATTATTAGACGCTATTCAATTTTAAGCCGCCGTTAAGTCTCGTAGACCGTACAATTAGTCTACTTTATTAAGTAAAAAGATTTTTTGATTAATAAAACTGTAATACGTAAGCTCAAAATTATGAAACGCTATTCAATTTTCAGCCGTCGTTAAGTCCCGTACCCGTATTGTGTCTTAAAATGTAGTAGCGTTTAAGTATTTGGGCAATAGCCGTAAATAATGGTTAGTTTGAGTGAGTGTGTGTGTGTGTTGCAGGATGCACGGCGTGGAATTCCTGGCAGCGGTGGCGGGATTGGACACGGTGGCGGTGGAGCGTGCACGGCGCGCGTTTTGGCGGCGCCCCGTGGCGCTGTGCCGCCGCGCCCTGCTGCGCCTGTGTGCGCGCCGCGACGTAGCGCGCTGGCTGCGCGCCGCCGAGCTGCAGCTGCACCAGCGCGCCGTCGACCTGCTGCTGCCCGACGTGCTTCGCCCCATCCCGCCGCACCTCACGCAGGTACACACTCACACACACACACGCACACGCACGCACACACACACGCGCGCACACACATACATACATCGTACATGCACCCACGCACATACGGTTTTTGAATGTTTCTAATCTGCTCAACTAATGATTCCTATATAAGTTACATAAATTTACTACTTTACTTGACTTTATTTTAGTATCTTCACGGCTATATAATCTACTTCATGGTTAGGGCCCGTTGTTGATTGAGGTTCTTAGGGTAGCTCCAATCATGGTGTATAAGAAAACGTGTTTGTTATTAATTGCACTTGCGTAATAATATAAAGTGACATGTTTCCGCGCAGGCGATCCGCAACTTCGCTAAGAGCCTGGAGTCTGCGCTGGCCGCGGGGGCGGGCGGCGCCCCGGCTGTGGCAGCGCGCGCGCAGGCCGTGGCTGCGGCCGCGCTGGCCGCCGCGCTGCGCCGCTACACCTCGCTCAACCACCTGGCGCAGGCCGCGCGCGCCGTGCTCACCAACCACAACCAGATCCAGCAGGTGAGCAACCACTCGCTCTAACCGATCATTAATTTTTTTTATCATTTCGCGTATTTATGAAGTCAACATTGACATTGACATTTGTATTTTACCATATTCGGCTACATCGTCGCTTACAATAAGTATCTAGCACTACAATACGATTAAAGAATAAATAAACGTATAAGATAAATGGCGTAGATAAAATTTTTGTAACACGCGACCGTAGAAAAGAGCAGAAAGATCCCATGATCTTCGGTATATGGCCGTAAATCATCTCGTATAATATGCTAGATGTAAAATACTCATACCATTCAGAGGAAGCGGCGTCAAAGATGCATCAGGTAAAGCGATTACCAATCCAGAAAGCTTTAAGTATAGTTATGAACTGATAGTAGCTTATTAAAAATAAGAAAGAAGAGACATAACAAGGGTGGTTGTTCTATGGCAGATGCTGGCGGACCTGAACCGGGTGGACTTCCGCGTGGTGCGCGAGCAGGCCGCCTGGGCCTGCGCCTGCGGCAGCGCCGCCACCGCGCATCGCCTCGAGGCAGACTTCAAGGTACTGCGGTTGAGCCGCTCGAGCTTGCTCTAACACACTGGCTAGGCCGAGTCTAACTTAACTGCTTCTGGCCTAGCTTAGCCTAACTTGGCCTGGCCTAGCCTAGTTCAGATATACAATAAAATGAAAAAGATATACAATAAATATAACCTCAAACCCTAGTTTGTTAATTTTCATGGTTGTATTGACTTTATTAACTTTATTCTTTCTCTGACAGTCAAAGCAGCGTACCAGGGTATTTATTGCGATTGTCATCAAACGTTATAAAATGTATGATGTCAGGCGACGCTGGGGCGCGGGGCGACGCTGGAGCAGTGGGCGGCGTGGCTGGAGAATTGCGTGCGCAACGCTCTTGCCATACACGAGCGCCGCAGCGACTACACGGCACGCGCGCGCCGCCTGCTGCTCGACTGGTCCTTCTACTCGTCGCTCGTCATACGCGAGCTCACGCTGCGGTGAGTGTGCGTGTGTGTACATACACGAGCGCCGCAGCGACTACACGGCACGCGCGGGCCGCCTGCTGCTCGACTGGTCCTTCTACTCGTCACTCGTCATACGCGAGCTCACGCTGCGGTGAGTGTGCGTGTGTGTACATACACGAGCGCCGCAGCGACTACACGGCACGCGCGGGCCGCCTGCTGCTCGACTGGTCCTTCTACTCGTCGCTCGTCATACGCGAGCTCACGCTGCGGTGAGTGTGCGTGTGTGTACATACACGAGCGCCGCAGCGACTACACGGCACGCGCGGGCGCCTGCTGCTCGACTGGTCCTTCTACTCGTCACTCGTCATACGCGAGCTCACGCTGCGGTGAGTGTGCGTGTGTGTACATACACGAGCGCCGCAGCGACTATACGGCACGCGCGCACCGCCTGCTGCTCGACTGGTCCTTCTACTCGTCACTCGTCATACGCGAGCTCACGCTGCGGTGAGTGTGCGTGTGTGTACATACACGAGCGCCGCAGCGACTACACGGCGCGCGCGCACCGCCTGCTGCTCGACTGGTCCTTCTACTCGTCACTCGTCATACGCGAGCTCACGCTGCGGTGAGTGTGCGTGTGTGTACATACACGAGCGCCGCAGCGACTACACGGCACGCGCGGGCCGCCTGCTGCTCGACTGGTCCTTCTACTCGTCGCTCGTCATACGCGAGCTCACGCTGCGGTGAGTGTGAGTGTGTGTACATACACGAGCGCCGCAGCGACTACACGGCACGCGCGCACCGCCTGCTGCTCGACTGGTCCTTCTACTCGTCACTCGTCATACGCGAGCTCACGCTGCGGTGAGTGTGCGTGTGTGTACATACACGAGCGCCGCAGCGACTACACGGCACGCGCGCACCGCCTGCTGCTCGACTGGTCTTTCTACTCGTCACTCGTCATACGCGAGCTCACGCTGCGGTGAGTGTGCGTGTGTGTACATACACGAGCGCCGCAGCGACTACACGGCACGCGCGCACCGCCTGCTGCTCGACTGGTCCTTCTACTCGTCACTCGTCATACGCGAGCTCACGCTGCGGTGAGTGTGCGTGTGTGTACATACACGAGCGCCGCAGCGACTACACGGCACGCGCGGGCCGCCTGCTGCTCGACTGGTCCTTCTACTCGTCGCTCGTCATACGCGAGCTCACGCTGCGGTGAGTGTGCGTGCGTTGTACATACACGAGCGCCGCAGCGACTACACGGCACGCGCGCACCGCCTGCTGCTCGACTGGTCCTTCTACTCGTCACTCGTCATACGCGAGCTCACGCTGCGGTGAGTGTGCGTGTGTGTACATACACGAGCGCCGCAGCGACTACACGGCACGCGCGCAACGCCTGCTGCTCGACTGGTCCTTCTACTCGTCACTCGTCATACGCGAGCTCACGCTGCGGTGAGTGTGCGTGTGTGTACATACACGAGCGCCACAGCAACTATAGTTGCAGTGAGGCAGCGAAACGCATATTAAGACATGAGTAAAGAGTATACGAAGAAAAAGCTATCTCGACGGTGCCAACAACGTACATTCCTGTTTATGATATTGATATAGTTCGCTATAATAAATATGCATAGCGCGCACGCTGGCACAGATTCAACAACCATTGTGTTGCAAACACGAGTGACCTAGTGCAACCTAGGCGAAATCACGGTAGCGCGAGGAGCATAGTGTGGCCGAGCCATCAGGCATCGCGTTGCCAGAGACTTCACGTTGCTTCTCGCAGCAGCAGGGTACAAAACCACTGGCTTCTTCAAGCATCGTCGTATCGCGTCGCGCCACTTTGTGAACTGACCCTTAAGAGATGTGTTTCTAGTTCTATGCTTTAATTATAATATTCCTTAAATACTGCAATATGTCGCGTAGGCCACAGTACAGTATACATGTGCGTACGTGTCCTTAGGCCTTACCTTCAATAAAAGATTAATAAATATCATAACACCAAAATAAATTACACGAAGAGAAATAAGCCATTTGAATGTAAGCTATTTACCTTGGGTAAGTAAATCGTTTGATATTGAAGTGTGTCATATCCGGCAGGTCGGCGGCGTCGTTCGGTTCATTCCACCTGATCCGGCTGCTATACGACGAGTACGTGTCGTACCTGATCGAGCGCCGCGTCGCCGCGCACCGCCAGCACCCGCCCATCTCCGTCATGCCGCGCGCACTGGTAACCGAACACACACATACACATACCTAAGCTGCACTAAAAGTATCGGGAATGGAATATTTCCACTGTTCCTGTCATATTAAAACCTTTTTAATTGAAAACTCCTTGGTTTTAAAAATCGAATACCATTTATTTATTTAAAAAAATATTCTCGGTCTTGTCACAAGGTTTTGTCAAACTTGTTTAGTCGTTGAGAAAATGGAATTGACTCGAGAAAATTCAAGAGCGATGATTTATTATGACTTTCGAAGTGGTTTAACACAAAAACAGTGTGTTGACCGGATGATTTCTGAATTTGATGAGGAAGCCCCATACAAAACCACAATTTATCGCTGGTTTGCTGAATTTCAACGTGGACGTGTCAAGCTCAGTGATGATCCCCGTCAAGGTCGTCCAAAAACTGCAGTCACCCAAGAAAACGTTGATGCTGTGCGTAAGCCGATTGGGGAAGATCGACATGTGACATACCGCGAAATTCAGGCAACTTTAGACATTGGCATGAGTCAAATACAAATAATCTTGCATGAACAATTAGGTGTAAAAAAGTTGTTTTCCCGATGGATACCGCATTTGCTCTGTGAAGACCAAAAAGCGGCTCGCGTTACTTAGTGCGTCAGAACCCTCGAAAGATTCCACGCAGGATCCTCAAACGCTGTATACAACATCGTATCAGGTGACGAATCCTGGATATACACGTACGAACCCGAAACAAAAAACCAGTCACGAGTTTGGGTGTTGGGAAATGAGTTAAAGCCAACAAAAGTTGTTCGTTCACGGAGTGTTGCAAAAAAAATGATGGCCAATTTTGTCTCCAAAACCGGCCATGTTACGATGATTCCTCTTGAGAAACAAAGAACGGTTAATGCAGAATGATATGCTAGCATTTGTTTGCCACAGGTCGTTTCTGAACTCCGTAAAGAAAACTGCAACCGCCGCATCATCCTCCATCACGACAATGCGAGTTCTCACACCGCACACAGAACAAAAGAGTTTTTAGAGCAAGAAAACATAGAATTATTAGATCATCCGCCGTACAGACCCGACCTAAGCCCTAATGATTTCTATACCTTCCCTAAAATAAAGAATAAATTGCGTGGACAGAGATTTTCATCACCTGAAGAAGCTGTGGACGCCTACAAAACGCCCACTTTGGAGACCCCAACTTCCGAATGGAATGGTTGCTTCAATGATTGGTTCCATCGTATGGAAAAATGTGTCAAATTTCGCGGAAAATACTTCGTAAAGTAATAAATACATTTATAAATAGTAATGTTGTGTCACTTCCTTGAATCAGGAGACTCGCGCGGACAGCCGTAGCGAACAGACGCGCGCAGCGGAAAGCTCCCGAGAGCCGATCCGCGCACGACCCACGCACTGCGTGTGGTATCTTGAAATTTTGTGCGGTTCTTAAAACAATCCACATTGGAACGAGACTTGAAGTGAATAGAAAGTGAAAAATCATGAACTGTGAGGACCCCGGGGGGAGCACCCCCCTGGGATTCACCAGAAGAAGTGAGACAGGCAACACCCAACAGAATTAGTGAATCAAGAGTAATAGGAAACATGCTCTCGAAAAACAACAGTGAAAGTTCACACAAATCTAATGATATGGACACGGATCTACTTAGTCTAGACAAGGACAGTAAACAAGTGAAAGACAAAGTGAAAAAATCACCCTACCGATAGACGCATTTACATCGGAGGAATGGTTCATCTGTAAGTGCGGCAAAAATCAATGCGCACTTATAAAAACCACGGCAGAGGATTCAAGCCCGTCTCTAACCACCCAAAGAGGCAAGAAAAAAAGAAATCGTAAGGGCGTTGGCTTGCAAGAGCCAGTGCACGTGCAACGAACGAGGTTAGAGCCGACGAACGGCACATGCAAGCCGCTCGCCGCCCGGACCGCCCCCCGCCTCACCTCAGGGGAACGACACAGCGTGCGAGCGTCTACGCTAGTGAACAAAAGAAACGACACCATCGCCCAAAGCCACACGACCACGGCGCGTACCTGCGCGACCGAAACAACCCAAAGTTTGGCCGCCACATGTAACACCCAGCGCGCGGACAGGCAAGCCGAGGCCAACTCGGAAACAATATATAATATACCGTTAGCAAACAGATTTGAAACGCTACAAAACGAAAATAGAGGAATAAAAAGACAACGCACCGGAACAGATAAGTTCCTGACGCCCACACAGAAAAACACACATATCCCTGATATAATAATTAGGGATGAAAAAATAATGAACGACCAACGCGCCCTCAGATTTATAAGAGAGGCGACATCAACAAATAATTCAACGCTTAGAGTGACGAACGGACAAATAAAAATCAACCCGGGGAGCTCAGCAGCCCGGGAAGACATTCTCACGAAAATCCAAGTGTGCGAACCATCAAGAATAATAGCACCAAAACCGAAAGCTGACAGACAACCAGCGACAAAAGTGGTGCTGAAAAATGAAACATACGGTGAGGACACTGACATAATCGCAGAAGAGATAGCGGAATGCATTGGCATTAAACCGATATCAATAAAACCGCTAGGAAAAGCAGGTAAAATACACCTCTTGATTTTTGAAAATAAATATAAACAAAAAAGCGTCCTGGAAGCATGCAAAACCGCTGACAGGAAGTTCTTCTGCGCCCCTTGCATAAAGGTAGAGCCATTCAGAGAAAACCCGAGACACATAGTGCAATGCAAGAAATGCTATGCATTTGACCACTCGAAACAGTCTTGCTACGGCAGACAAGAAGAATCACAGATCAAAATCAATACACCCGAGGGCACTACGACGATGGTCTGCAAAAACTGTAAGAAAGAAGGACACAGCGCGAACAACGCTACCTGCCCGATATTTCAAAAAATGATATCCAAACAAATGGAACAAGCGAAAGCCAAACAGACTAAACAAGAAGAGAGAATCAGACGTGCGACAGTCAGACCTGGAGTCAGATATGCGGACGTCTCAAGCAAAAGACAATTCTCCGCCTTGCCACAGAAGGAGCCGACAGTATCACAGGGGGAGCAGGCAATGTTACCACCGATGAACGAAACAACCATAGAAAGCCTCCACCTAAGACTGGAGCGAACGGAAAAACTACTAATGAAGCTCATAGAAACCATGAATAACACATAACGACAGACCAATGGCTAATCACGACCAAAAAAGAATACAGAACCTCAAAATCCTACACCTAAATGCACAAGGACTGAGAAAGAAATTCATTGAAGTAAAAAAGCTGGCAGAAAAATACAGGCCAGCCATAATAGTGATAAACGAATGCAAAATCGACTTCGACAAGGAGAAGTTTAACATGAAAGGATACGATAAAATCACACACTCGCTTAAAACCCACTTAACCACAGCCATGTACATACAAAGGGGGCTAAGATGGACCGAAACAGAGGTCACACCGGGGTGGGGAGAGGAGAGAAGAAAAATTGAAGGCGTGGGCATCAAACTGTTCACAGACCACCCGACTGGACAATACATAAAAATAAAAGGGACCTACTTTCAAATCCCAAATCAACACCAAGCCAGAGAAGAGCTTGAAGAAACCTTGGCTGACGAACCAACGATCATAATAGGAGATCTGAATCTACAGATGCGCGCCCTGAACCAAAGAAGAGACGCAGGCCTAGGCATTGTAATCAGGAAAGCAATAAACGACGGAATCTGCTCGCTAAAAAACGCCGGCGCGCCGTCGAGGCCGGCCAACCAAGGCAACGCAATCCTGGACATAGCCGTAATAACACACCAACAGATCGAAGCACAAGCCAAGCAGTTAGAAAGCGTTGGATCAGACCATCTACCATGGCTACTCACTGTAAAAATCGAACACAACATAGAGGTAAACAAATCTCGCAACACAAGGAGGATACGCGAGGACGAGGGGGCGATGGAAGCATACCAACAAACCATGTGGGAAGGCTTCCGCTACCTACACGGGGAAATAATCACGGAGGAAGACTGCGAAAGATACGTCGAAACCATGGAGAAATCCATTACAGCAGCCCTCGACGAACACGCACCTTTCAGAACAACAACGAGACGAGAACATCTACCACCGGAAATTAATGAAAAGATAGACTTCAGAAACAAGCTGAAACAAATTAAATGGCAGGCAAGGCACGGCAGCCTCAACCTACAACGAGAGGCACGTGCCCTCTACAACAAAGCCAAAAAAGAAGCAGACCAAGCACTGAGAGAATATACCGAGAAGGGCTGGCTGGATAAGATCCAGGATCCGAATGACAATAGGTCGCAAATGTGGCGCATCCAACGCAACATGAAGAAACCAATCATGAGACTACCAAACATAACGGGCTGCAAAACGGAAAAAGAGACGATCGACTCACTGACTGAGGCAGCAATAGTAAAAGAGGCAGTAATTGCGACGGAAGATGAGGGCACAGAGAAAACGACCCCGTTCCAGCCACTCGACCCAACATCAAAACACGAAGTCAAATTAGCACTGAGCAGGTTCAAAAACAAAAAGGCTCCCGGGCCAGATGGAATCAAGGCAGACGCCCTCAAACTCGGGGGAGAAGTCTTCACCGAGGCATTTGTGCCTCTCGCTAACTTTATATTGTCCACATGCTACTTCCCTAAGAGATGGAAAACCGGCGTGTGCATCTTCCTGCACAAAGCTGGCAAAGATCATCGCCAGGCACTATCGTACCGCCCGATTACACTGCTCAACATAATGGGCAAACTGTGCGAGCGACTCATCCTGAGACGACTCACCGCCACGGTGGACCGGCTGCAACCACCGTTCCAACACGGCTTCACAAGGGCCAGAGGCACAGCGACCCAGATCCTTCGCACCGGTAAAATAATCACAGATGCCTTGGCCAACGGCGACAGCGTCTCCATGATATCAACAGATCTTTCGAAAGCCTTTGACTCGATTTAACCACAAAGGCTTGATCAAAAAGCTACAAGACAAAGACGTACCCACTAACATCACAAAAATTATAGAAAACTACCTTGCAGGCAGACAACTGAAAGGCAGGTTTAGAACAACTGAAACAGAGGAGAAACCTATACTCCATGGCGTGCCTCAAGGATCGATCCTGGGACCGGTGATTTTCAACCTGTATGTCCATGACATCTGGGACATACATGACAGAATTAAGGGGCTCAAACTCTCACAGTACGCAGATGACCTCTGCATTCTCAACAGAGCCACAAACCCAGACCATGCAACCATGCGATCGGAATGGGCAGCAGAAACTATTATTAACTACTATACAAGATGGGGGCTCAAATGCAACATAGAGAAAACCGAGTGCATTATGTTCTCAAAGAAAAGTAAATACCGCCCAGCGGTAAAATTAAAACAACAGATGCTACCATACCAAAACCAGATCAAATACCTCGGCGTGGTCTTCGATAAACGCATGAGAATGAATCAACACACCGAAAAGGTAGTGAAGAAACTGAAACGGGTCAGAGGAGCCCTTGGCCCGATAATTGGATACTACGCAAAAACAGATCTAGAAACCAAACTGGCCATAATACAGGCCTGCATTCTGCCACTGCTGGACTACGGAGTGGTCCAACTGCTATCGAGGTACAGCGCGACGAACCTGAGTAAAATCGAAAGACAATACAGAATGGCACTCAAGAGTGCTGCCCAACTACCGAAAAGAATATCCACAGAGATACTATGGGAGATGGCTGACATAGAAGCCTGGCACCTACGTGCCGAGGACATAAATCAGAAGATGTTGGACAACATTGCCCAACTGGGAATAGAAGACCTAGAATCCCCCCGGTGACGCCTACCTGGCGCACGGAGAATTCAATCCCCTCAGGACCAACCATAGAATAGGTGAAATTGTATATGATCCCAAAAAGAAAAATTACAAGCGATGGCCCACCGATAACACGGGAGCCCCGCGCCCTCTTAGGATAAGGTAATTAAGGCTAGCAAATAAGTACACAAAAACAAATGAAATACATAATAATTTTATTGTATAAACTTTATTATGAATAAGCAAAACACAGCAAACACAGATCCACCTAGGACATAAGTTAGCTGACTCACCCTCACACGGTTCACCGGCCGTGAGGATGCAAATGTAAATACACAAGTAGGCAAATAAATATTTTCTGATTCTGATTCTGATTCCTTTATTCCCGAAATTTTCAGTGCCGCCCTCGTACACACACACACACACACACACACACACACACACACACACACACACACACACACACACACACACACACACACACACACACACACACACACACACACACACACACACACACACACACACACACACACACACACACACACGAACACACGCACGCATACAAATGCACGTACACATTTTTTTATTGAAATTACAAGCAAACTATACCTACAGCCTAGCCTACCTGAAGGTAAGTGGCTACTGCAGTTCATAGACACCTGAAGCCAAGTTCAAACAATGATGCCTTCAGACATGTTGTTACAGCTAGACTAACTTAAAAATGTCTCACAACTTGCAATTATACACTTCAAACCGGATCACAGTAGAGCATGCACTGCTGTTTGGCTGCAGACATTTGTAGCGGTGTGGTCCGCACCCAGACGGACCCCTAGGCAGAAAAGGAGACAAATCACCAAGTGACAGTATACGCACTCACGAACACACTCAGACAGACGTAAACACGTGTTGTTGATTTGTATCACAGTGACACCTTATAGTATATTATACCCTTTTGCCTACTTTTAGACTTTAATGCTCTCTAACGTGTATTACATGCATAATAAAAACATTACAAAAGCTATAGCAAGTGATCTCTAAAATCGTTCATTGTAGGACGACGAAGAAGATGATTTGCTCGAAGAAGCTCGAGACGGCGAAGACGACGATATGGACCAGGATCAGGATCTTGAGGCCGAGCTGGATAATGATAATGAACAGGATCAAGACAACGACAACGACCAGGACTGGGAGTGGGCCGATGACGATGACGACGATGATGACCAGCCCATCGAAACAAAGAAGACCAAGCTCCATAACTAGATGTATGGTACGCACAGTTAAAATTTATTCACTCTTTTGCACGAGCTTATTCAATATCCAAACAAGGTAACACATATACTAATATATTACTTATGGTTCCTATAAACGGTTCGATTCGTGGGTTCAGACTGATCGAAACGACCGATCTGTAGTGTTGTTGTGTTACAATCGTTAGCGATTTACTTCATCGCAGACGGACGGCATTGGAGATCGCGAGGAAAACTCGGGCACTCTTAAATATCGTAACGATAAATCAACTGTGTATATCTTGATCTTTGCGATCGACGATTCGATTCTTGTCTCAGTCTAACTGCATACATCGCACGTATCACATGTGGGTGGTATTAGGTGCGCCTCGCGCCTACCTACATTCGGAATAACCGCTGCCCCGACGTACAATACATAAAAATCTTTTTAAATATTTATATGCTAATATTGATATCGTTTTAATAGCCACTTTTTAAACCACAATTTTCTAAGTTTCCTTTTATATGTAGCCGGATTAAATTTACGGCCAAATAGGCATAAAAAAGGCTAATTTCCCATTTTAGAATAAGGCACGTAATTCATTATTCGAATTTCTGTCAGTGATAGCACGTCTGTCGTTCCGTTTCAAACAAGTATGATCGATCGCAACGACCAATCTTTTCGTGTGTGAGCGGTAAGATTGCTCGTAACGGCGGATCGTTCCGTATATGGGGCCCTTAATACATTGTGCACTAAGTTACGGTCAATTATCCGTGACTTCTTTAATAGACCGCGAGCGGATGAAAAAACTAGTTATTTATTTTGTAAACCGTGAACGTTGGTTTCGACCATAGAAAACTATAATACATACATAATAGAACTAGGGACTGGGCGGAGTCCGTGTAGCCACTAACATGTCAATTCACACCTTAAGTGTCATCACATCTCTTTGACGTTACAATCGTTTTCAATTTCGTGTCAAGCGTCGCTGCATGCAAATTATTTGAGAAATGGCAAATTGTTCAATAATTACGTGTTGAAAGAACAGCGGAAAACAGAATTTAAATAAAGGAGACATATTCTACAACCATTAAGAAACTATTTATATTTTGTAAATATTAGAAACAGAAAAAAAAAAGAAATATTTATGTGTCAAAAACATTAATCAAAAGTCTGAAATGTGTTTGTAGTAGTGAAAACTGATAATACGACGTAATTGTTAGTATGTGTGCTCCCGGCGACGCCGATCCTCGTACAAAATAAGGTTGACAGCCATTCTATTGTATGCCTGCCGGGGCTGCGGGCTGTTCGAAAGAGATACCGCGGCTCCGGAACGTAAGGGCACTGAAGGAACACGGATGGTTTTTAGTCAGTAAAAGTCTGACACTCCCTTACGCTCCACCCAGAGCGAAAGGCGTCATTAGATGATTTTCCATCCGCAAAAAAAAAGCCATTCTATTGTGTATTATAGTAATCTATGTTTTCGACAATCTAACACTGATTTTGTTTAATGTGACTAAAAAATCGCTGTCATTACTTTGTTTGCGATATGAAGTTTTTGTTAGATAAATATGCGACTTTATTTCGTATTTACCTATAAACAGTAACTGTATATAAATAAAAATACAACTGCGTGGCATATTTACCATGCCAGCTACCAGCCCAAACTATCCGCAGATGTGACAGTTTTTGTTCTGAATTACCTATATTGTTATATACATAGGAAGTCTTTGTTCTAATCTCCTATTTTCTCTTACTTGGCTCTGAAATGGTGTTACTTGTGCTCTAACTATTCAGCGTGGATCCACATTGTAAAATCATAATTTAATAGTTTTGACTTTAAGTTTATAAAATTTGCCACGCTGCAGCTATATTATGGTTGTAGCACGAAAGGGTCGGCTCTACCGGGGTAAGGACCACGCTCTCACAGAGTACCAGCTTAAAATAGCAACTCAGTGCTGCTATGTTTCGTATGGTGAGTGTAGAGAACCGGAGACCCTATCCGATACCGATATCTCTTAAGAATCGGTATCGGATAGGGTCTCCGGTCTATCTCTTAGGAATCGAATATTGTAGGTACCGATGTTTCATTTAAAATGCCTAGTCTATATCTCTTAGGAATCGAATATTGTAGGTACCGATGTTTCATTTAAAATGCCTAGTCTATATCTCTTAGGAATCGAATATTGTAGGTACCGATGTTTCATTTAAAATGCCTAGTCCAATAATGTAAAAGCTGTCAAAAAGTATTCCTTAGATGTGGTGGAGCATAGGTAGTTAGTACAATTATTTTTTTTCCAGGTAAACTCGAGGAAACAGCCCCTCTTAACAAGGGAAATCAAGTATTCCAGTACTGAATAAGTGTATAAAATATAGTGTATTTTACAATAAAAAGTTTTATTGTAAAATAAATGATGTGGTAGTTTAGTATTATAAAATATTTAGATATAACACGAATCTAGTCCGAAGTACCCTAAACGACTAAAAACAAGTGTTTGAGAAGAAGTTTTGGCCAATGCAAATGTATTTAAGTAATTTTAGGGTATTGCATGCAAATTATTGTATATGTTAGTTCTGTAAGTGCTGTCATTTGTGAAATTAATATACACTTTTCAGTGTATTAAAAGTAAATTGTAGTAGTTGCATAACCTGGAAATATTTCTGAAATGTAAAGAAAAATAACTTGCCAGTTTATCAGGTATTTTTTATTCTGGCAACATTTACAAAATCGCAAAATCTGTGTTTCGTAATAATGGAGTCTATACTTGCTATAAACATTACAAAATATATTAGATGTTAACCCGAAAAATTATCCTCTCTTTATGATAAAAACCGCAAATAACTTTGAATTCTATTACATTTTTTTTTGAAAATGAAAGAAGTCCAGTTTCAAACATTAGTTTTACTTGGTATAATATGTCTGCTTTCGTTCAAAAAGAATTGTTACTGTAATATATGTTACTTAGTAAGTTATTCATTTTGAACCTCGTAGTTTAAGGAATTCGGCCAATGTGTAACGTGTAAAATTTGGGCTATGGCGCAAGTGTTGCTATTTGAAATGACCGATTTTACCTTTCGAAACATTTTCAATGATAAATTAGTAGGTACTGCTTTCTTTTCAAGTAAAATTGTATTTAAAATGCATTCTTGTACATACACGGTGTTTCTAGCGTTAAGTCATTAATTTATTGTTCACTGCACTCCAATAGATAGGTTTTGTGCACATACCAAAAACAGTTTGTGTTGCTCATTTAGTATACGAAGAAGTTTTGATAAGTCATAAATGCTTAAGTTATATTTTAAATAAGATATCACTATAAACAAGTGATTTAAGTCTGAGAATATATATTTAGAAAGTCGGTTAAAACTAGGAATTTTTCTAGTTTCTGGAGTTTGAAAGATAACATTATTTTCTCGATTTCACAATATTTCTTTGAATGTTGACGTTCCTCACTTTTTAGTGGCTCGATGTCTGCTTATATTGCAAAAAATATAATTCAAGTAGACATCTAATTGTTCACATCGAAATTTTCAGTGGATCTTGTAACATCAACCTATTTATATTTGTGGATAAACTTGTCCTGAGTCCCCATCTCTTAAAGATACCTATTAAAGTTTTTTTCTCTCTCACTTTATATTTTATGACGACTTTTCTCGTGTGTCAAAGTAATGTTACCATGTTTTCAATTTAAATACAAAACATGTATGTAATCAAGTAGAAATGTAAATTTTAATTATGTATGTACACTTTAATGGATATTATAAAATGCATTGTTTTGGCTTCAAATTTTCAATTTGTGACAAGTATAAACAGCTTATTTTTATATGTATATAAAATGAGTTTAATGGTGGCGGAACGTTTTGTTTCCGAGTGATCGAACAGCTCGTCTGCATGTTTATAAGTTAAAAAGTATTTATTGTTGTTTGTATTCATTTAAATTTGTAATTGAATTCATTTATAAATAAATCGCTTTTCTCTCAAGGGACTATACGTAACTATTCTATTGTTTGCGCTAGGATCCATGTTTATAATGTTAGTTAAGGTGAATTTACACGAGCGTTAATCTAGATATGATTTTCCGTATGAAAAGTGTATTCAACGCAGCATTGCAGTTGTGTGTTTAGACTTTACTTACATAATTCTTCCGTCATATATAAAATGGTGCGCAAATTAAACCGTTTTTAATATATCTCTACAAATGTACATAGAAAAACGTAGTGGTGTATTCCGAAATTCTTTCCATGTAACTGACTCTTGAAATTTATAAGTATGAGCTCGATCTCGCTAAATATTGCATGTTTGGAAATTAATATTACGAGGGCTGTACCTCTAATGCCCGATTCCTATATTCAAGTACCTTTTCGTTCTCCGTAACGATTCGTTCTATTACACACGAGGTGTATATAAAAACAGTTTATATTACAAACTATTCAATAAATCTTGTAAACGGTTTATCAATAGTTGAAATGGTATTATGTTTTAAAAAAGGAGTTTTCGTGCTGAAGCAGCATTACTACAAAACTGCTCGTAAAAGAAGTGTTTTTAGGTAGGTATAGTAACCCGGCATAAATGTGTATCAATTTCAGTCTTTTATTTGAATGACGGAAGAATTGTTCTCCGCCGTCAACGTTTCCAGTGAAAGGTAATAAGTAAGCCTTAAAATGGCCTAAAACTAACTTAATATGTGTTGTGAGAAATAGCCGTTCGATGTTAAGTCATACTTTGAATGTAATACCGTATTGATGTTTAGTGTCTAAATGCTTTGCGAGGTACATTTGGCTAAGGAATACAATCTTGTGAACGCTTTCCACAGACTATATTTTATATTTACTAAGGAAGTTTACGAGGCGACAGATTTTGTGCGGAATGTTTGATTGGAAACTTTCCGCCAGTACGATAACAATATGTATTCAGGCAAAAGTTGGTTTTTTTTTTGCGTATTTTGAAGGTAGTTGTTGAAATTCTCCGCCAGCGTAGCGGTCCTCAAATCGGTATTTTTTTTAATAAACTGTAAAAAATATATTTGCAAGCA